GGCTGCGGCTTTCTCTCCACTAACGTGTGTTCCTGGCTGAGGCAGGAGATTTGCTTGAGCCCAGGAGTTGGAGGTTGCTGTAAGCTGTGATGCCATGGCACTCTACCCAGGGGGACAGCTTGAGGCTCTGTCTCAAAAAAAAAAAAAATGATTTTTACTAAAAAGATGTCACCAATTACCCTGAAGTCTGGTTTTAGTATTTTGTTGTTGTTGTTGTTCTTGGAACTGGCAGTGCCTCCTGAAGCCCCTTAGGTGTCATCAGAAGTTAGTCCCTGGGATCAGGGTTCTAGCTCCCATGTGTTTGCAGAGTCAGTGAGCAGAGATGGTGATTTGATGACCCGGCCCCTTGGGAAGTCTGTTTGAAAAGCAAGTAGCAGTTGAATGAACTAAGCCAGTGAGTATTTCCTTGTGGACGTTTTTTCTTGGCTGTGTCATTACAGAAACATCTGCCAAAGAGGGTCTGCTGCTGTGGTGTCAGAGGAAGACTGCTCCTTACAGAAACGTGAACATTCAGAACTTTCATACCAGGTAAGCACCTGGGCCCTCGTGGTCCTCACAGTCTCACTGGGGCCCCTGGGCGGCAAGGGGGACGGGATTGTTTACACTAGTGTTCCCTTCTGTGAGGCATTTTATGTATGCAGGGAAACTTGGGATAGAGAATTTTTGATGCTTGGAGTCTCTCAAGGGAAAGAAAATGTGGGATGTAAGTTTCGAGGTGCTGGTGGGACAGGCCTGTATTTATAAGTGAAGGTATGCAGTGCCAGTGGGGTTCTTCCAAATTTGGGGTTGTGAGAGTGCCCCTCACTTTGGCCTTCACCGGGGGTTGCGAGAAGGCTCAGGAATGCCTGTTGCCTCAGAAATGAGGGGACCTCAGCAGCATCTGCGTACACTCAGGCTCTCCTCCTGACCCCTCTCCCCCAGAGCAAGTGGGAAGATCCCTCATCTACCACCTTTGCTCTGCCAAAATTCAAGATACGTTGGAAAATTACACTTGAAAATCATAGAAATGGGGCTCGGCACCTGTGGCTCAAGTGGCTAAGGCGCCAGCCACATACACCCAGGTGGTGGGTTCGAATCCAGCCCGGGGCCCACCAAACAACAATGACGGCTACAACCAAAAAAAAGCTGGGCGTTGTGGCAGACGCCTGTGGTCCCAGCTACTTGGGAGGCTGAGAAAGGAGACTCGCTTGAGCCAGGAGTTGGAGGTTGCTGTGAGCTGAGATGCCACGGCACTCTACCCAGGGGGATAGCTTGAGGGTCTGTCTCAAAAAAAAAAAAGAAAGAAAGAAAATCATAGAAATGGGACGGGGGAAATCCAGACGTTGTAGGAGAGCACGACTGGGTTGGTCACGTGCTTCTGTCTTCTTTCTCATGCGGATTTTGTCATTATGATGTGTCACTAGAAGAATTGGTTTACTGCACTTTCACCTTTCGGATGGTAGCTTACCTGTGAATGGAAATGGGCCCACCGCTGGCCATGGGTAATTAGAGGAAGGAAGTGTAAGAATGGGCCATAGTGAAAAATTAGGAAGTTCTAGTTAGAGAAATACTTAGTATGGCCAGCGAGTGTTGGCACTGAGCCAGGCCTTGGGCATACAAAGGGCAGAGCCTTCCCTGTCCCTACATTGTGCTACTCAGCAGGTGAAAGGAGCTGCCCAGGGCCAGGACCTTCTGCCGGTGTCAACATCAGAACACCAGAGTGGCTTCCACTCACCTTCCTGCTTTTCTATTTGGCCCTGAGCACTTCAGCAGTATACTGTAACTCTCCCCTGGGTCTCCTCCTGCCACTGAGCCTTTGAGGCACAGAACTTTCACTGCTGGCTATCACTGAACCTGCTGTCACCGCAAGCTCGGAGCCCTGTGCCGTCTCGGGGCTTGGTGCTGCCGTCTTGGGGGAGCAGGCTGGGCATCAGTACTCGCCCTTGCCCTCCCTCACTTGTGCCTTTGCCTTAAATAATAATAATAATAATAGTAAAGACCCTTATGAAGAAAAACAAGCGAGTACCTGGGAGCTAATTGAGACTTCTGAAATGTCCTAAGATCTCTTGGAGGAGGAATGTCCTGGCTGTTGTCAGGGTAGACATCCTTCTGCTGGTTGCTTGTGCAGACCTAGGGTGGGGAGATAGCACCGGAACTGAGACTTGCAGGACAGTGAAGAGAAAACTGGGGACAGGCAGAGCAGAGAGAGCAGTGACAGGCGTCCCCTCTCCTGTCCCCGTCTGTGCCAACGCAGATTCGCCAGGGGCCAGGAACAGGGCAGGGCTCCCGAGGGGCTGGGCCTGACTCTGGGAACGGGAAACACGGGAGTAAGGGGTGGGCTGTTCGCAGCAGACCCTGAGAATACGATGGGTGTGCGGGGAGTGGACACACAGGCGCTGAGGGTGTGGTAAGGAGGAAGGCGCAAGGGGCCTTCTGTGCATCAAGTCAGACAGAAGGAGGCCGAGGCCCGACCGAGTGCAGAATCTGGCTGCGGCTTTCTCTCCACTAACGTGTGTTCCTGTTCTTCTCGACGCTGTCAAGCTGGAAAGATGGCCTTGGACTCTGTGCGCTCATCCACAGACACCGGCC